TTTTTTTTTTTCGTGATCGGTTCCGTGAAATCAGTAATTCGGGGTTTCAGACGATCGCGGCCGACTTTGAAACCGTCCACGGAGATCGTGTCGAAAGCGCAGGAGTTCATCGACATCTATAGGTATCCACCTTCGAGGCCGGCGCCGATTTATCCGACTCCTCAGGTCGACAAACCGGCGGCCAAGTGTCGCAAGGACGTCTGCCTGCTTCCTGATTGCAGCTGCGGCGGTGCGGACATTCCAGGTGAGCACGCAAATTGTTTCCTGATCGGTTCGACCCTCGACAGTAAGACAGAAGGGCGGGTGGAGGGGAGATAGCGGACGATGTGGTTCGCGGGGCGAGGACAGGACACGCGCGTATACACGCGTAAAAGTCGGAATCGATATCGTCGGAAAGTCGAAAACGATAGATATAGATACATACGTGGGTAGACGGTGACGCAAGCGTCCGCGTGGCACGAATGTTAAGTTTAGTCGATCGGTCTAAGCAGCCATCGAGTTGACTTTCTCCGATTCTAACGTTACACATAACCGTTCCAACTGTCCGCTCGAAAGTGAAACAGTGATCCGCCTTGCCGCTTGCAATTTCGCACGTGAGCGTGCTCGAAGGCTGCTCGAAATCGAAAGCTCTCCCCCTCCCCCTTCCGTGATACGAATGTGAAATTAGTTGGACAAGAGTTCGATAGTATAGGTACCTGTGGGAACTGAACAAAATAATGGAAACGTCAAGGAAATTCCTTATTAACACTAACCGTGCCGGCGTTTCACATATATTCTTACCGTAACCGGTCAAACGACGAAATAAATGTTTTTGTTTCGGAAGAAATTTATCGTAAGAAGTAATGCACATAACTTTTAAATAATAATGTAATAACCAATCGTATATTTTCATTTTTGTATTTATCATAAACAGAAGATCATAGGGGCAGCGTTTGTTTCATTTAGAAATAAATGAAGGATATTTTTGTTTTTTTTTTTCGGAAGAAATTTATCGTAAGAAGTAATGCACATAACTTTTAAATAATAATGTAATAACCAATCGTATATTTTCATTTTTGCATTTATCATAAACAGAAGATCATAGGGGCAGCGTTTGCTTCATTTAGAAATAAACGAAGGATATTTTTGCTTTCTTTGCAGATGATAGGCTTTCCCTTCGTACATTTACTGCAGACATATTGTTTACAAATCATACAAGATTTAATTGTTTTGTTATCTTTGAGAAATCGTATCTGACATGTTTTCCGCAAATGCGAAATATTACGTTGGCCACTTGATGTTTGTCCCTGTACGTTTTTCTTTTCTTCTTCGAGAAATTCGCGATAGTCTTCGGCAAGCTCTTCTGCCAATTGTAGTAGAAATTGTTGTCTCGATATATTTTATCCACTTGTTTCCTTATAAAAGACCCATGCATTGATACCGGTCAAATCAAGGATGTTGAGAAAAAAACTTGCACATCTATAAGATTTGGATTTGACGCTGTACTTTCTCGCCATTTGATCGGTTACATCGACACTGAATTTGGTTTTATTCTAATACGCAACTGTCTCAGGTATTCGCTTTCTATTGTTATTGATTTTTACACATTTATACTTCGAACTTAGTGTTAACAACTGTTTTGCTTGGTTTGGATTTATAAATTGTTAGACTACAATTATTTGATTTATAAATTACCGTCGAGAAAGAGATGTTCCATTTTGTCTTTTGTTGAGTTCTCTTCTGTTACTCCGATTAGTTCCAACTAATGTTGTTCGTTTCGTTTTATTCGGTTGCTTGCGAACTAAACACATATCGCATTCAGATGTATGCAGCTATGCATATAGTTGAGATAAAGCTAAGATCTCAGGCAGAGAAATCTAGAAAAAAGATATAAATTTCTCAAATTCCACCGGGCAGACACGTTAAACAAGTCAGGCGATGAATTTTTCTCAGTAAAAAGAGAAGTCAAAAAAAAAAGAAACAAAAATTAAGAAGTTGATTAATCAGATAATCTAGGAATTTGCATAAAGTTAGATGAACGAAAGAAGTCAATTTTTAATTAAATTTTGAAACCGATCATTCGACCGGGCTTGGTACGGTTAGTGTTAATATCGCGTAGACTTAATACGTACGTAGAAGATTCCGGAATCGAATACAAATGTATGGAATCATATTCAGTGAGACGTTATGTCATTCTTCGTTTAGCGAGAAGTTTATTCGGAAAAGCCGAAGAGGAGATGTTAATTATTTCTCTAAAACAGACCAGAATGTTGTCCATCATTTTGTTCAACCCCTGCGCATCGATGTTGAAAGAAATTCAAATCTAGCTGTTATGTCAGCAGAAGGGAAAACTATCCCCGCGTATTAAATTAAAGCTCGCGGAATGAACGAAGCGCGTCGAGTCACGATAATAATATCCCGCCGCGAGCGACCAGCACGTAAGCCATTAAAACAGCCATAGCTAGCTGTTCCTGCGTCTCGGAGTGGATTGTGCAACCGCATACCTCGCATAAATCATCCGGAAGAATCTGCCAGAGTCGGGTGTCCCTTACTTACTTGCGTCTCGTTTTTAATTAAGCAACGGATTAACCACGCTCCTTTTTTCCACGACGTGACGGGATCTCGCGCTCTCCTGCG